TTGGCTTGTTTGTGTGTAAGGTGTGTAAAAGAGGCATACGAGTCGGGAAAGTTCCAGATGGAAGAGTTTATTAACTTGATCCATCAATGGTACAACCCGACCAAGCACGCTAAGAGGTTGCCGGATAAGGCAAAGAAGATAAATTATAACGATTTCCACGTTTGTATCTTGTACGAGTCAAGAGTTCTGGTTTTTTTGTCTGTGCATGTGTGGAGAAGAGTTTCGAAGAAGATACAGGTGCCACAGGGGAAAAGATTTTAAGGGAAGATACCACACTAAAGAAGATTGGGAATTCATCGAAGACTAAAAGTACACCGTGAATCATGTTTCTTATTTTAATAACCCTAATGACTTTGCCTGAAGAGATGCAGTGATGAAAATGGACCTACTTCCAGGTAAATTCAGGGGTCATTTAAATTATGTGCTCCTTCAAATAATTTAAGGAGGCCAAGGCCTCTCCAAAAAATTTAACAACGATCGCACAAATTTGATCTTTTATACTGGAGCCGAGATATCCATTTTGGAAATCGCCTTTGCTCGTAAGGTTGGCTTCTAGATTCACGAAAATGAAAGACTAGAATGTGTCGGTATTGGGAATCAATATATATCACAGAAGGGCGCACTCATATCAATATTACCCTGCTCGGAAACTTGGTGCAAATATATTGAGGTATGAGTCGGACTGATGAAAGGCCAAGATGCAATTTTGAGGATCGACTTCATGATACCCGCTGGTATCCGCTTAGACCTAGGAGGTGGAGCACTCTGTCTCCAAGATAAAATTCGTATACAACTGGCCGGACGATTTACAATTTACGATGGCAGAGTGACCGACGTGAAGCTGGGCCAAATCGCACAGTTACCTTTTGTAGGGTACGTAGAAGTACTTATGAACGAATCAACCTCGGAGCAGATTGTGCTATGGGTGACAATAGGAGAACATGGGGTCACTACGGTGTTCGAGGGGTAGGCCGACGTCCACTCTTAAGGTTGACCAATGTTATTACACAGTTTCTAAGGCAACAGACAATACCAGGATTGTATGTTGTTAGCAAATGATCAAATGTCAAAGACTCTGGGGTTTGTCACTGTGGCCTCTCGAAGATACGCTGAGTGGTGGAATTTGGAATACGAAGCTACCACCGACCAGAACGGTCATCAGTTGAACTCGATATAGGAGATGAGGGGCCATTAGTGTAAAACACTAGTATGATACCCCATAACATATTCTGCAGCAACCGAAAAGGAACACCCTGGTGATGAACGTTTCTCTTCAACAGCTGCCAGGGTAGAAATTACCAACATGCGAGGAAACGACCCCCGCCGCTCAACCTCTAGAAGCTGCTGGCCCTCAGCTGATGGAAGCCACAGTCACTCAGTCTATGGAGGCCAGCGTCCCTAGAGCAAGAGCGAAACACGATGACCTAGCACAAGCCGATGACCAAGTGTGCACTTTTGAGTGCGGAGAACCATGGGAGAGGAAAAAGGCCAAGGATGGGCAGTGATACCAGAAGCAGACCCGTAGCCCGAAGGCATCGAGCTGAAGGACCTACAGATCCCTTATCCGGATGGTAAAGCGCCTGAGGTGGATCGATTGAGGCAAAACGTTTGGAAGAAGAGACATATGCTAATGGAAATGGCACCCCTTGCCACCAGCCCCTCGTGGTGCCATATGCGACTTTGAAGTGGAATATGCGAGACCGATCGCACAACGCGTGCAAAAGGGAGGCCCTCAGTTCAAAGAAAATTTTGCCGACCTAATTGAGGGTCTACTGCTAGCGGAGATTATTCAATCGTCGTCCTCGCCGTGGGTCAGCCCACAAGTGATCATCGTGAAGAAGAATGGGGTAGACATCAAGTTGTGCATTGAGTACCGATTGGTAAACGACTTGACTCAACTCATTGTCTACCCCATTCTAATGATTAACGAGTTACCGGAAGACTTGGGTAGTGCGTTGTGCTACTGCTCTACCGATAAGGCAAGTGGTTTATATGAGGTGAGCATGATGGAGAGGGAAAGATTGGTTTCAGCGTTGTCACACCGTAAAGACTGTTCGAATGGCTGCGGATGCCATTCGGTCTCAAGAATGCACCACATATCTACCAGCGACTTATGGACAACGCGTTATACGATTCTTTATTTTGCCTCAGGGACCAGATTGGATAAGTCATAAATTTTTCCATCGGGATAAACCGACACTGAGTCAGGCCCCTTGATATGGGGTCGTCGGTCGTACATAGATGACATACTTATACCCGCTGAATCTTGAAAAGTGTTATGCGATAATGTGGAACGGTTTTTGGACGCATGCGACTGCTGAACTTTGTTCATCACTGCAATTAAGATTTGGTGGAGATGTGAAAGAGTCGACTACCTCGGCCACCGGGTATTTAGAGAAGAATTGGAATTCACCCAAAGGAAATCCAAGCACTAGTCGGTCTACCTCTACCAACAACTCTTAAGGACACGTAGTCGTACTTCGGAAGTCTGAATTACTACAGCATGTTTATTGAGGATTATGCCATCTTTGCGTCTATCCTATAAGAGTTGAGAGAGGTGGACTTCCACGCGTGGCGATGCAAGTTTAAGGATGGTCACCACTCAGTGATCAAGGGCGGGGACGAAAAATAGGTCTCGAATTTGGATGGATTTCGCTATGCTCAAGAACAATATTGCTACAGCGCCTATTTTGCGAGTTTTCGATCCATCAAAAGAAGCGGTAATTATTGTCTATGCGAGCGAATGGTCCATCTCAGCGTCGTTATGCAGAAATATGAAGGCCTATTTCTGCCAGTGACCTCCACGAGCCGGACAGTCAAAGCCAACAATTTAAGCTACAGTACTGTGAAGAAAGAAGTGTTGGTGCTTTTGCGGATTTCGGAAACTTGTTCTACGATGCTGGTAACCCTACCTCTCAAAGTATTAACGAGACACTCGACGTTGACCGGTTTGGTCAAATTCTCTGGATTGCAGGGGCGTTTGGGAAATTGGGCCGCCCTCTTGTCCCAGTGGACATTACAGATTGTGAAGTGCAAGAAGGCGAATACCAGGTGCTGGGTGCGTTAGCAGCCAGTACTACCCGCCGCGAGAGTGTAGAATCGATCCTATCGGCTATTGCACCCAAGAAACAGGCGAAGCAGAAGATTGAGCTACCTACGCCTACTGTGGAAAAAGACGAGGAGCTATATGTACTGAGCTTTGATGGAACGGCTCGTGTGAAACAAGGAGGATAGATTGTTTCTCCTTCGTATGTAGCCTGTCTACGTGGTAGGTAGTAAGCGCTGCCTATAAATATGTCAAGTAATCCACGGTGAGTGAGGCCGACTATGAAGGTATGCTGCTGGGTTTAAAGTTGTAAGTACCTTTGGAACGACGGCAACTTATCATCTGTTGATACTCCAATCTGGTTGTCCGGCAGATGCGTGAAGAAATCGGGTGCAAGGCGTCAGGGCTGTCACTTGCGTGCAAGTGAAGCATTACACAGACAAGGAGGGGTCGAGTCAGTGCCGAGGGAAGAGTGGGCAGGGTTAAAAGTGATCAGCCGACTGCCAGAGCTGTTAGTCTCCAAAGACGAGGTTCGGACAGTTATAGCTCTCGCGGTGACCCGATCAAGGCCGACCATCAGAATACCCGGAGAAAGGATTCAATAAGAGGTGGTACAACAGCTGCGAGTGAACACTTTCAAAAGGCTCAAGATAACGTGAAATAGATAATCATGTTGAAGACATACTCGTGAGGGCTCAAGCGTAGGTTCCTCCTGCCTCACCACAAAGAGCACCATAAAGGGCCACTGATGACTGTGGTTATACGTTCTTGTGTCAGTGGGTTGTGTGGATCGCGGTTTCTGTACAATGTTTACGTTTTGCGAGCAAATACTAGCGGGTAATGTAAATAGATTACTTAGAAAGTACTTCAAGGCCACAATACTGCAACCTTTAATGCAAACACATTTATTGATATTTAAAATCGATGAGACATTGAACGGGCAAAAATAACGATGTATCTTAAAACAAAAATATGAATATGAAAAGCAAAAAGCGAAAGACGAAGTGACAGGGATGGTGGCGATGAAGACGATGAAGGAAATTTATGCACGACTACATATCAGCAGATACAGCGAAATAGATGTCAAACGGCGAAGAAAACGAGGTCGAATGGAACTATAACATATTGTAGCAATGCGTGGGTGGTTAACGAAAATCTGGTGGGTAACTAGCGTTTTTATTCATATGTTATAATAGCAAATAGTCATGCCATCGTCAAAACTCCACAGAAATTCAGAGCCGCTGTTGCATCTACTCCACTTTAACAAGTTTAGGATACGCCGTTTAAAGCGCTGTCTTATTTTGTGTCATGAACACCGCGAGTGCAGATTAATCGAATCGTACTGATCGAATGTGTCAGATATTAGAGATAGAGATGAGAAAATTGCTGAAGATTGCCATACCAGGTACGATCTTGAGGTGTAGCACTAACGTGACTTCTCGTTTAAGTGGGATGGTACCGTACGGTATGCTAACGGGTAAATTTTACATACACAAATATAAATATATGTTTTGATCAATCAGAATTGGCTGATTTGAATGTTTCCTCAGTGAATGAAAAGGGAGTGAATCTGACAATTCCCTACATTTACGAGAAAATGCAGTTCCTTTTACTGTGCGTGTTCCTCCGAACAGTATTATCGACTCTAATACCAAATTAACAGCCTCCTCTCTCGCTTAAATGACAGCTGCTGCATCAAAGCGGACTGAAAACATTCTCATCCCTTACATCATTGTCAACGCGATTGTGTGGTGACCTGCGCGAGGAACAGCACTTCACTCAAAATAAAGGCAAGCGCAATACAGAATCCTACAGCTCCACATAAAATCCTACAGCTCCATTTCGTATTGAAACAGCCTAGAACAACCCTACGGCAATTACCAACTCAATCAATCAATCAAATATCAAAGGTCCCATCTATCATCATCCATCCTCATTATCACCAGTCGTCGCCATGGCCTCGACCCCACCGACTTCCTCCTCCTCGTCTTCACCTCCCGCTGCCTCTGCACCGACTGACAGCAGCTACGAACCCATTTTCCACTCTCTAGCGCCACACTCCCGTGTGTTTCCACTGCACAGCGCCAATGTCGCCACTCTCCGAACCCCCAGTCACTTTTACCACCAATTATTGCACAATATCCGCCATGCCGAGCACCGCGTATCTATTGCTTCGCTCTACATGGGTACAGGTCCGCTGGAAGCCACAATAATTGAGGCCTTGGCCAGTCGGTTACGAGCTCGACCAGAGCTTCAGGTTCAAATCGTACTCGACTACGCCCGAGGTCAACGGAGTTCGAACCCCTCCGCTGCCACTTCCGTGACGCTCTTAACGCCATTACTCGCGGCTTTTCCACACAATGTCCAGCTCTTTCTCTTTCGCGTGCCGCAGCTCTCGTCATTGGCGGCGACGCTTCTGTCGTCGCCTTTAAATGAGACACTTGGTGTCTGTCATGCCAAAGTTTATCTCGTGGACGACACGCTCGTGCTCAGTGGCGCCAACTTGAGTGCCGACTACTTCACCAATCGACAAGATCGGTACGTGCAGCTCCGTGATTCGAACGAGCTCAGTCAGTTCTATCATGACTTTGTCAAAGTCGTCACGGCATTTGCCTACCAGGTGAAACTCGAGCCGTCGTTGAAAGGAAGAGCCACTGGACGAGGATCGAGTCAAGTTTCTCATTATCACCTCGTGCCGCCGGAACTCGCGTACGACTCGGACGAAGCTAAAGGAGCTCTAAAACAGGCACTGGAGCAGTTGGTGGACCCGACCAAGCACGCGAAGCAGATGCTCGGATCGGCAGTTGTCGATGCTTGGGCGATCCCGACGCTGCAGTTTACTCCTGTTTCTATGAACCATGACAAGCAAGTTATGAAGACGTTGGTGAAGACGTTACCGCGGGACTCGCAGCTACAGATTGCCTCGGGCTATCTGAACTTCCCGCCATTTTTAAGGGACTTGCTGATGACATGTGACGCTGATTTGGATGTGATCTTAGCGGCCCCTCAAGCCAATGGATTTTATAATGCTCGTGGTGTAAAAGGCGCTTTGCCCATGGCGTATTCACTCATTGAGCAAGATTTTTTCGAGCGAACACTTGGCCGCAATTTTCCGACGGTAGTGCGCGAATTTAATCGTCCTGGCTGGACTTTTCACGGCAAAGGCATGTGGTGGCGACCACGCCTGCGCCATTCGCATGAGAATGAGTTTGGGCTACCTCAAGTCACAGTTGTTGGAAGCTCGAACTTTGGCCAGCGGTCTTATGGTTGCGACTTGGAGTCGAACTTGGTGATGTTTACGCGAAACCCAGTGCTCCAGCGCCATCTGCAAGATGAGTACGATGCTCTTACTCGTGACGCAGAGGTGGTGACCGAGCACCTTTGGCGACGACCCGAGCGCATGCTACAGCGTCTATTCAGCTGGAAAGACGGCTACTGGATCCGACCTGTGTCCAAGTTCATCGCCGCGTACCTCTGAGGACTTGATTGATGCTGTCTACAGAGCACGAATCGATCAACGCTAAAAAATCGTTCACTGGATCCGTGTACATGCGAAGTAAGCTTTGTTTTGCTTATTCATCTACAAGAAGCGGCTGACTGTGAGCTGCAAAAACGTGCCTGATAAGAGCGGGAACGTCAAGTTGTCATCCCATCCACCGACGTTCAACATCTCTGCAGCTGCCGCGATGATTCCTGCAGCGACTGCTGTCCCTTCATCCTCGCTTATGTCGAAGTAGAAATCGCGCTCTATGATGAAGACGGTGAAAGTGGCGATAGCTGCGACACCACAGCAGCCGATCGAGCCTTCCAGTGACTTGCGGCCGCCCAGTTTGCCCACCACCGTGGCCAATTTGTGTCGACCATACAACGTCCCGAAGAATGCTGCAGCTGGGTCTCCGACTGACACCTGAGACAACAACAACAACAACAGCAACAAGGACAAAGCAGCAACAGCATTAGAAACTCACTCGAGCACTAAAACTTCTCTCGTTTGCCCACGCTTTTCAGCGCCAAAGCATTTGACTGTCGCACATGAAGAATCGCAAGTCGAGCGATTCGGAGCTGAAACAGTGCGAGCGAGAAGGCCGAGCCCAGCAGGAAGTAGTATGCTCCCGGTAGCGTTGTCCCGGCGACTTCGTGCGGCCGTAAGAGACGACGAAACCGTTGGAGATACGCAGTATTGAAGGCGTCGCTGTTTTGTCGCAACACGTGCAATCCGTAGCAAAGCAGTGCAAAGGTGAGCAGGACCGTCGCGCCTGGACCTCGACCAAAAAAGCGGGAAGCGACGTAAATGAGGACCCCCGTGATGAGGTGGTGGATTTTGCGCAGGAGGTGCAGATCAGAGCGATCACGTACGACTTCGTCGTTTGGCTTAGCTGGACGTTGACCGGTTGAAAAAATGTACTGGAACGACAAGATGATGGCGACGCTGATCACACAGAAAGCTACTGGTACGCGCTCCTCTTCTTCCGCTGCGGCTGTGTCCACTACCATGTCGCGGTCCATTTGGCGAGTAGCGGGGATGGTTGGAATCGGATGCAAGACGATGAGCGCCAGAGCGTCGTATCCAGCGCGACGGTTAGATTTTGAAACAATCAGAAGGACGCAATGTACAGGGGTAGATGATGGACGGTGATGATTTGTGTAGCTTGTTCGCAACGTGATTTGTAGGAATTTGTCATCGAACTGGAGCGGTAGTGGTGCTTTTGGCGTGAGACAAAAGAGGGGAAAGCAGAAAAGAGGGACTCGATGGTCGTGGTTAGGAATGCAGGGCGAGTGATGGGCGGTCAGTATCGTCGCTGCTTCGTTTGTTTGTCATTTACTCGCTAGGTTAAGTCGTGAGGGCTAAGGAGCACTACTTTATTTCAGTAGACAGTCAAGTTGGTCACAAGTTGTGTGCGTGTGTCCGGGAGGAACACGTAGCCTTGACATTCATGAGCAATCTAGATGTCAAGACCTTTGACAATATTGGGCTTTAGGTCCTTTGTCTTCTTGAAATGGGTACAAACGGCGTGGTGAAGCCAACCTCACAAAGCTCAAATGGACGGGCATGATCTTTGCGCTGAAAGAAAATTGAAAGAGCATGTCGTAAGGATGCATCAGGGGAGGCACCTTGTGCGAGAAGGAGCGGTGTACGCCGAGCTCCACTATCATCTTGCTACAAAATTCTACTGATCGTTTCAGGACGATGGCGGCTTGTGGCTGGTACGTGAGTATGTTTCGGGTGGAGAACTTTGGAGTCAGGTGTACTCTCGTGGTGCACGCTATCATGAAAAGGTGGAGACCGCCAGAACCGTTTCGCACGCGCTCATTCGCACATTGCTGGAGTACGACACGGTCAAACTCCGTCGTTTGATTCGAATTTGCCCGTGCATGCCAATATCAGCCGAACACTTCATGACGGCGCAATCATGGATGCTATAGGCTTGAGACCTTGGTTATCTGCGCAGTCTAGTAGGAAGGTTAAAGTAAAAGCACGCGGTGCTTTACCTGTGCTGCACATCGATCGTTTACGTACCTGGATGGCCTCGGGTACATGCACCGTGTCCTCGAGCCAGAGAGTTTGTGTAATGGGGTAGCCCGTCACATGAAATTGACACCAAACGATGTCAATAGGAATATTGTCTAGCATGACAACATTCTCCCGATATTATCCGGGATGGATAACATTGAAGGAATGTTATCCCCTTTTGGATAATGTTCACGTGCTGCTCCAAGATTGGTTGATATAAGACATATCAACCATCGATTGCCATTAATCGCTGCTAGACGCGCGCAATGAGTGGTGAGCAGGTTGTCGTCATACGACGGCGTAGTTTAGTATAGTTAGATAAAGATTAAAGTTATTTTGATAGCTTAACTATATTAATTACAGATCTCTTTTTACCTTACTTGATCGAGTCGTTCAAGTAGTTTAGCTTCCTCTGCACGTACTAGTGTACGTGAAGCTTCGCGGCACCCCAAACAAAGGGTGGCTCGCTACAGTTTGGATCAGGAAAAAAAGGAGCCGCCTTAAAAGCTTGGACTTGGTATAGCCCAGCTCCGTGTATAGCAGGTGAAGGGAATCTCGCACAGACCCAGAAGGCTCGTCTCATACGTTTTGTGGGAGCATGCATTACATGGCATCCGAAGTTTACCATCGTTAGCCACATGATTAACGGCTTCATTTATAGCTGTTTGTCATCATCGTCTACGAGCCCGTACCGACAGACACCAAACTACCATCGAAAAATCTCGCGAGCTGAGATGACAATCCCGCGAGATTTCTCGATATTGCTTTGTGGCGTTATCGAATGACTTCAAGAAGAAAGCCCACGTGTTTGCGACCGCTAAACACAGCCAGCTTCGAGGGAAGAATTTAGAGCAGAATATTATAACTGGCTGGCCCAGGCTGACAACATGCTAAGATGCTTTCGTATCTAGCTTGGCTCTTGACAAAAAGAGCGTTTCTAAGCACTCCAAACCAGTACCACGACCACGGGTGCGGGCTAGTTCTGTTGCTCTATATCGGGGTTGCACGCGGTTAATGAACCGGTTATGTTGTGTGTCCAAACCAAGTAAAGATCGGTGGATCTGAGTGGTATAGTCTTGGTACCACGTACTTACAGTAATACCGCACCTTATTGGGTAAGGATAAGGAATCAGACTTCTGTCTTTGGATCGCAATGTAGAAGTTAGTCAGGCAATTTTTTTGAATTTTGTTACCGTAGCTAAAATAATAAATGAAGTTCAGTTCTCCTTTTGAAACGTTGAACACTAGTACCTAGTCAAGGCATAGTGTGTTGTAAGAGTGTTAGACTTGTGAAGGCGCCTACTCTTGTTTAACTAGTAGTGACTAGGTAGTGTGTGATTATGTGAATCGTAATCCCTTTGAAACCGGGACTGTTAAGCTTGTACGCTTGAACGACTGTACGTCGTTGTTAGTTTCTTATATCTAAAATACTCTTTGAGTCTAAGACTTCCTCTGTTGGGAAGTTCTATGTAGCTCCGATAAACCGAGCCCTTGTCGTTGCTTCGACTCGGTCGCCTCGATGGATGAAAAACGCGTCTGGTATAGTCGAGATTGCTTCGTTCTTCACATTCTGCTGTCGCTTTTCAAACAGGACAATTTTCGTACCGACGCTCGTCGTAACGATCGTTGCCATATTTAGTACGAATGTATCTTTCCGTAGACCTCTTGTAGCAGGGCACCCTTTGTTTGGGTGCCGCGAAACTTCACGTACACTAGTACTTGCAGAGGAAGCTAAACTACTTGAACGACTCGATCAAGTAAGGTAAAAAGAGAACTGTAATTAATATAGTTAAGCTATCGATATAAATTCAGTCTTTATCTAACTATATTAAACTACGTCGTCGTATGACGACAACCTGCTCACCACTCATTGCGCGCGTATAGCAGCGATTGATGGTAATCGATGGTTGATATGTCTTATATCAACCAATCTTGAAGCAGCACCTGAACGTTATCCAAAAGGGGATACAATTCCTTTAACATTAGTGATCCCGGATAGTATCGGTCGAATCTTGTCATACTAGACAATATTCCTGTTGACACCGTTTGGTGTCAATATCATGTAGCGGGCTACCCCATTAGATCCCCCTAAACATCTATCACTTCGGTGATTGAATTTTATTGATTTAATACACAGTGAAAATGTTTTGGATCACTCTGGGAAAAGGAGCACTTGTCGGTTTAATCTAGCCTGTTTGCCAATTCCATCGCATGTTTCACAGTTCATGTGGTGCGCTGCCGAAGCTGCCAAGAAGGCGGCTGCACTTATGTGTTTAGACGGAAAGGATTTTTCTTTAGCCTTAACGTCAGGTGAGCTTTCACCTGCTGTTGCAAGTGAGCAACAGGCAGTGCCTGTTGCGACTAGTGTATGTGGTGAGTCACCACGTACGACAAAAGTATCTGCTGCGTCTGAAGCGGGTGCTATGACTCGCAAAGCGGATGAACCTGTAGCAGAGCTGATCTATTCTAGCCAATCGGATGATGTAGCAGAATTAAAGGTAGAGCCTCCTGCTTCAAAATTATCCAGGATAGAAACTGCGAGAGTCAGGTTGTTTGGCTCTGGGGAACATGGGTCTATCATGTCCAAGATCTTCGGACCGAGCGATTCGTCTGACGAATGCTCGTCTCACACAAGTCCGTCGGACACTGGGACGTGTGGTGATGCACCTATGCGTCACCACGAGAGAAGCAACTCGAGTAATCGAGTTGCTACTGGTGTCAGTGCTAATGCTGACACCACGCAAGAGTCTAGGGACCACAATGTCCCGCGCCATGCTTTTAAAGTGAGGCATTCTTGGCTTCCATTATCCAAAGAGTTGGATTGATTGGCCAGTATGACCACCAAACGACATCGAATTCCGATATTCGACTGTAGGAGGATCTGTACTTCTAATTCTAGCACGAAATATCTCCGTGCTGAGGAAGAATTCTACACCGATGTGTTTTCTTAGCATCGGTGGTACAAAGGCAACCTTGACCGCGACGGTAGGGTCTTAGTGTAGACTGCCTTCATCCATAACATCGAGTGCATTGGCCTTAAGGCCTGGCTCCGTAAACTTGATGCAGCTCGCATCAGGTTTGAAAAGCGTAACTTAATCGGTGTGCGATACAAGTTGCACCGACTGTCAAGAGAGGCAGGATTACCCTGTCTCACGTGGGGCGATCCATGTCCACGTTTCTAGAAAATGCGAATGGTACCCCTAGGGAGGCCTACCTCCCTATTGTCCCCTTCTGCAGGGCGCGCATCTCTGCGGTGCCGCAGTATGAAATAACACTTTGCAATCCCTGTACTCGCGTCCGGGGAGGTAGTTTTCCGACGGCCTTAATTCGAACGCAGCGGGTGTGTCTGGTCGTGATGATCGACGAGACCCAGAACTTCAACAATCCGCTAAGCGCGAGGCACCTAGCTGTTCCAGATAGGTGGATAGCCACGCCAGCGGACGAGGTAACTCCTCCGGACGCCCTTCACGTCGCGGTGGTTCAATGTTGCTCCACCCAAAAGCGTTGACCACCGCCAGAATTCACCAACGGATGTGCTGGGAGTGGGAACACCTGATCCGGCTCGAGGGTCTGATCAGCATGATATTTAGGAACTGAAGTGTGCGATAGAACAGTTCTACGATGGTCGGCTCTTGAACGGACTCGGCCTTATGATCTGCATGACATTGTCAAGGACGATTACAATTCCTTAGCGCACGATCTTCCAAACGATCGTGCAGCATTAGCATTTACGCAACTTGAGAACGATCGTTCTCTTCGTGTCGTTCTGACTGCAGCTTTTCAGGACATCGCTTAACTACGTGATCAGGTCACTTCCTTGTTGACCAGACTGGTTCATCGAAACATGACCACTCGAGGGTGGTCTTGGACCTTGAACGCGAAAGTGTTCTTCGCCTTTCGAAACGGGCTCGTACTGATAGTACGACGGAGAAGTCCTACGTAAAACTTAAGATGTGTACGCAGACTAAGAGGCAGTTCGATTGTGTGTGCGGTGTTCATGCGGCGTAATACACGAAATGGACCGATACACTTGGGCCGTAATTTACTTCTGCTAACGTTTGTCACTGCTTGTTTTGGTAAATTAACTGTGGACAGTAAAACTAAGTCTCCTTCATTAAATGAAAGAACATGTGCTCTTCCATGTATGTCGAAAATTCTTTTCTTTTGCTCGATTTCTTATAGAATCGAATCGTGAACGAAGCGGACAGCCGCTTCGCGAGTCAGCAGACATTCCTCTGCCTTTTTATCCTTGTCAACAGCAGTGCGCTTCGTGTGCTTTACAAAAAGAACATCGTCTTCACCAGTGAAAGAGTCATCTTTTTTATGTAGCATTCGCTTGCGATGCTGAATACACTAGCATCGTCATAACCATCGTCATCGATGTCAATAAGATCGACATCGGCATCCATCACGTCTACACCATTGTCGACGGGTGATGAGCAAGAACCATATCGATTTTTGCTCGAGCGAGTCCACCCCCCCCTTAAACTAGATTCACACTCTAAGAAGGCGGGTAAACGTGGATGGCGTAGGCCATTCACGAAGAACGGTGTATGCGCTGTCGACGCGTGCACCGAGTTGTTGATGGTGAATTCCGCCATCGGCAAGAATTTACTCCAGCCCGAAAACGAGTGGACATACCCTCGAAGTATCTCTTCGAGAACGCGGTTGACGCGTTCCGTCCGACCATCAATTTCTGGATGGTCAGAAGTTGACATCGTCAAACGTGTCCCAAGTGAAGAAAACACGGATTGCCAGAACTCCACTATGAAGCTGGGATGAAACACGAGTTCACGGGGTAACCCGTGAAATCGAAAGATAGTATCGATGAAGACACGCACACAGCACTGAGCTGTGATTGAATCCGGTACTGCAACAAGATGTACCATCTTGCTGAACCGATCAACAAACACAAGAATACCAGTAATCTTGTGAGCGTCTTCGGGAAAACCAAGGATAAAGTCCATCGATACGGACTGCCAACACTCTGCCGGAATCGGAAGAGGCTGTAAGGGTACGCGGGATGAAGGACTAGGCTTCACCCGTTGACAAAATTCGCAAGCGCGAATGTATTTCCGCACAAACTCATACTGGTGTGGCCAGTAGAAGTCACGACTCACCACGAGGTAGGTCTTTTCTCTGCCGCGATGCCCACTTGTTGGGGCGCGTGACACTCATACATGATGCGCAATCGCACATCATTATGAGCCGGAACGACGACACGAGGTGTGTTGCCGTTGACTGCTGTATAGTACAGCAGTCCATCACGAACAGAAGACTGTTCGGTTGAAGAGCGGTATTGAGACGACAAGCTTTTCAAAGCTTGACTGCATGGATTACACACGTAATTCAATCAACGTAGAATATAATTATCTTCTGTGTATGCTTTTTTGCACATCGTCGAGCAGATTCGACGACGGAACACTCACTGATAGTGCTGCAACAGTAGGATCACTCTTACTGTTGGGTTAAGCTGTAGGTTTGAAATAGGGCCGACGCGAAAGAGCATCAGCGACGACATTAAGTCGTTCTGGTTTTACTCGACGTAGAAGTTGTACTTCGCGAAGAAAGACAGCCACCTCGCCATTTGTTGCGAGAGGTGTGGACTGTTTACGGCCGTGCGTAACGACGCATGGTCGGTAGAATAGATGAAGGGCCTATCTCCTAAGAGATATACCCGAAACTTGACCAGTGCATATTTCATGGCAAGGAGTTCCTTGTCATGCACCGGATAATTTCGCTCAGCTGCTTGCAGCAGACGCGATTGATAACAGACAACGCGCTCAACGCCGTCCGAGTCGTAATGCATTAACGCGCAGCCGATTGCAAAATCGCTGGCGTCACAGACCACGTGAATTGGTCTGTCCTGATCTGCAATCGCCAACACAGGCGATTGTATCATAATTTTCTTGATACCTTCGAAGGAGTGCTGACACTCAGCGCTCCATGACCACCTCTCGTTTTTATTTAGTAGACGAGAGAGATGAGCGGTCATCTCGGCATAGTTGCGCGAGTATTTGTGCAAATACGCTGCCAAGCCAAGGAACTTTCGAAGTCCCTTGACGTAGACTGGCACAGGCCAGTCGCTAATCGCCTTGATCTTTTCCGGATCAGGGTGCACACCGTGTTTATCCAAGATTCAGCGTAGAAGTGGCATTTCGCTCGCTGCGAAGATGCACTTCTTGAGGTTCGCGAACAACTTATGCTCTCGCATTAGAGTAAGAACCCTCCGGACGTGGATTCTATGAACCTACGCGTCCGTCTTCCATCCATAGCCCGGATATGGACGAAGACATCGTCGAAGTAACTCGGTACAAAGTCGCGCACCGATCGCAACAGATTCGTAACACATCTGTTGAGCGTTGCAGGGGCGTTACTTAGCCCCTGTGGCATCACTAGCCACTCACAGAGCATACAACTGGGGGTGATCACTGCTGTGTACGGGATGTCCCATTCATGCATGAGAATATGATAGAATCCATCCATCAAATCCGTGAACAAAAAAAAGACGATAATCTTTGCCATACCGTCTATGATGACGTCCTTCCTTAGAATCGGCGTTCGAGCCGGTACCGTTGCAGCGTTCGGTTTTTTGAAAGCGTACACTATCCGTCACTTTCCTGTGGCCTTTCTCACACAGAAGGTCGGAGAGCTGGGTAAGGATGTTGATTCCCTCACATGACCAGCAGCTAAGCGATCAGAAAAGAATTTTTCAATCGCTGTGACCTGTTCACGAGGCAGTGGCCACTGCTTCATGACACAGTATTTCGAACCAGGTTTCATTTCAATCTCATGCCGAGTGCCTTTGTCTTTGGGCAGCTCGCATGGCACAGATTCCGGGAAAACATCCCTGAATTCCACCAAATCCTTATACAAAGGATTTGTCTGTAAAGACTCCCAAGATTTAGACGTGTATCGCTCAATCCGAGTCTTCTCATCGAGGACACTCTCGTCCATAGATGAGCTACTGAGAACCCTTTCGTTCTAAGCAAACACTTAAGACGAACGAATATCGGCGACGTACTCGTCCTCTGTGGCGAGTACGCAGATCTGCTTGATCTTGTCACTACGCAGATCTCGCAAGAATCTTTTAGATTCTGGCGTTGGCAACTCGACCACCTCCGAAGCTGACTTTGGGGGCGTCACCAGATCAAGTGTATAAGGCCTACACTTGATCCGTCATTCACCAAGACATTTACTGACTCGGTGATTTCCTGGGAAAACACATCCGCAGGTGGTTGGGGATCCACACCCTCAACATAACTCTATCGGGAGTTATTGCTCTCAGGAACGCCGGAATTCTCTTCCGTTACGTGTACTACAACGGTCACATCCTCTTCGATCGACTCCCTTTCCGTCGAGCGGGCTTTCTCTACGATCGACTCTCTGATAGTCGATCTCGCTTCAACGTGTTTTCCATCCTGAAAAACACTAGTCTATCTTTTTGGATGCACCCTTCTTGGTGCATCCGTGTTCCAGTCCTTTAGATCTCTTCGAGTGGTGAACCTTCGGCGCAGCCTGCGTTTCTAAGCAGGTGCCGGAAGCTGGTTCCACAGTGCAGTGGCCTTTTACACTGTGATCTTGTGCAATCGTACTAACAACCGTACTACAAGTGAGGCCATCACACCCACTCGTAGTACATCCACACGCTTGTGAACGCTCCAAGACGTTTATCAGATGGCCATCCGATTAATAAACGGCAGGCATCTTCACGGATCGATGCTGCCAGCTAACCAATGGCCGGTACTTTCTAAGCCATGGCAGACCAAGGATGACACCAATTTATTCATCCAAATCTAATACGATAAAGTCATCATCGTACTGCTTTCCTTCTAGCGTGTAGTGGATTCCCACTACACGTTTGTTCCCTGTTACGGATGCGCCTGTAGCAAGGCACACCGTCATCCTCGTTGGACGGAGCCCTCGCTCAACATAGTTGAGCCTACTATCCCCTAGCGACTGACGTCGAATAAAACTGTTCGACGCCCCACAGTCAACTAGGGCGCGAAGTGAAATTCCACTTGTCACTTCAATCTTTATATAATTTGGTACATCTCATCACTAGGGGCAGTAGCACACAGTGAATGTGCGTTGGGAGCAATATTCGTCGAGAGTCCTGCAAATTCTCTTGAAGTTGCTGGATCAGCAGAGTGCTCCGCCCCTTCTGAACCTGACCGTTTTTGGTCGGTCCGACTTGCCGTCGCGGTTTAGTGGCATGGTCGGACCCGCGCCTTGGCCCTCACTTGTCCAGCCGTGGTCATTTCTTCCTGTATTTGGACGTGATGCGTTGCTTGGGACACTAAGCTCATAAGCGTAGCATTCGCCTGTGGCTCGGAGAGCGAAAGTTTTCGCTTTTGAAACAATAGACAATAACAGAGGTCTGTTGGTTCGGGACCTCCGGTTTCCTGTCGTCTAGTTGGAACATACCTTGATAATTCAGCCAGAGACTTTCTCAGGCTAATGTCTTCTTGTTCGCGTCCGTGACGCTACTCGCGAATTTTTTTGGTGTTATGCATAAGCGTGCACATCACGCTTACCTTGCTTGAGCGTTAGGAGTGCAGAGCGTGCTCTGGACTCGGCTCTTGGCGGCTCAAACGTTTCTTTGAGTCGAGACTTCAAGACCTCTAGCAACTCAAACACGTTTGGGTCGTGAAGCTTGAGCCCTAAGGCCCAAGTCTTTGCTCGTCCCGTCAAATTTGACAGGGCGAAGGTGACTTGCATCTCGTCACCCTCGATGTGACGGGCCCTGATGGCGTCGTCTAACTCGACGAACCATCTCAAAAAGGAATCTTCGTCGGTTTCCTTGGACCTTGAGATATCTATTCTCAAGTTTTCGGGTCGACGCATGTGCGTCGGCACACCCATCGACTGATGAGAGCCTTGCTGCTGTAGCCAGGCTATCTTCGGTCTTTCGACTGCAAGTTCCCCTGGCAGGAACTTGATAATAGTTGCATGTTGCTGGTCTCTGCTTAGAGACTCCAACATACCACTGATGGCGGGTTCGCCCATGATCACACTCATGCTGCCGACTATCTCCCTTTCTGAGTCACTCAGATGGGAGTAGCCTTCACGTGTGATGTGGAATGTAACAGTGTAGCCCGTTACATGAAATTGACACCAAACGATGTCAATAGGAATATTGTCTAGCATGACAACATTCTCCCGATATTATCCGGGATGGATAACATTGAAGGAATGTTATCCCCTTTTGGATAACGTTCAGGTGCTGCTCCAAGATTGGTTGATATAAGACATATCAACCATCGATTGCCATTAATCGCTGCTAGACACGCGCATTGAGTGGTGAGCAGGTTGTCGTCATACGACGGCGTAGTTTAGTATAGTTAGATAAAGACTAAAGTTATTTTGATAGCTTAACTATATTAATTACAGTTCTCTTTTTACCTTACTTGATCGAGTCGTTCAAGTAGTTTAGCTTCCTCTGCACGTACTAGTGTACGTGAAGTTTCGCGGCACCCAAACAACGGGTGACCCGTTACACCTGGTAGCAATTTGTAGTCCGTCCAACGACTTCTTAGTGTCCGTTTAACTTGAACATGTTGGACGTAGAAGACGACAGCTTTCACGTCACACGTGAAGGCTACTCTTACCTGCGTGACTCAGAATTGGAGACAGTCGGCAGCATGAGTGTGATCATGGGCGAACCCGCCATCAGTGGTATGTTGGAGTCTCTAAGCAGAGACCAGCAACATGCTGCTATCAACAAGTTCCTACAAGGGGAACTTGCCGTCGAACGGCGGAAGATAGCCTTGCTTCAACAGCAATGCTCTCATCAGTCGATGGGTGTGCCGACGCGCACGCGTAGACCCAACCTTGAAAATAGATATCACAAGGTCCAAGGAAACCGACGAAGATTCCTTTTTGAGATGGTTCGTCGAGCTAGAAGATGCCATCAGGGCCCGTCACATCGAGGGTGACGAGATGCAAGTCACCTTCGCCCTGTCAAATTTGACGGGACGAGCAAAAACTTGAGCTTTAGAGCTCAAGCTTCACGACCCAAACGTGTTTGAGTTGCTAGAGGTCTTGAAGTCTCGGCTCAAAGAGACGTTTGAGTCGCCGAGAGCCGAGTTCAGAGCCCGCTCTGCACTCTTGAGGCTAAATCAAGGTAAGCGTGACGTGCACGCTTACGCACAGCACCTGCGCTGCCTTGCAAGTAGCGTTACCGGGAACCCTGTTGATGAGCACACGCTCATCAACGTTTTCATCTACGGCCTTGTGGATGGGCCGGTAAAGACCTACATGTTCCGAGAGGGCTTCCATACGCTGGAAAAGGCGATAGCGTATGCGGAACAAGAAGACTTCAGCCTGAGACAGTCTGAAGCTAACTCGACTAATTATCGTCCGACGAGGCGACAGGATGCAGAAGGTCCCGAACCAATGGACCTCTGTTACATCGAGAGCGAGAACTCTCGCTCTCTGAGTAACTAGCAAACGGCCAGATGCCATTGCTGTCAAAAGATTGGACACTACGCTCATGAGCGTAGTGACCTAAGCACTGCGACACGTCCGACGACGAGACGTGATGACCGCCGTTGGACAAGGGAGGGCCAAGGCGCGGGTCCGACCATGCCACTAAACCGCGACGGCAAGTCGGACCGACCAAAAACGGTCAGGTTCAGAAGGGGCGGAGCACTCTGCTGATCCAGCAACTTCAAGAGAATTTGCAGGACTCTCGACGAATATTGCTCCCAACGCACATTCACTGTGTGCTACTGCCCCTAGTGATGAGATGTACCAAATTATATAAAGATTGAAGTGACAAGTGGAATTTCACTTCGCGCCCTAGTTGACTGTGGGGCGTCGAACAGTTTTATTCGACGTCAGTCGCTAGGGGATAGTAGGCTCAACTATGTTGAGCGAGGGCTCCGTCCAACGAGGATGACGGTGTGCCTTGCTACAGGCGCATCCGTAACAGGGAACAAACGTGTAGTGGGAATCCACTACACGCTAGAAGGAAAGCAGTACGATGATGACTTTATCGTATTAGATTTGGATGAATAAATTGGTGTCATCCTTGGTCTGCCATGGCTTAGAAAGTACCGGCCATTGGTCAGCTGGCAGCATCGATCCGTGAAGATGCCTGCCGTTTATTAATCGGATGGCCATCTGATAAACGTCTTGGAGCGTTCACAAGCGTGTGGATGTACTACGAGTTGGTGCGATGGCCTCACTTGTAGTACGGTTGTTAGTACGATTGCACAAGATCACAGTGTAAAAGGCCACTGCACTGTGGAACCAGCTTCCGGCACCTGCTTAGAAACGCAGGCTGCGCCGAAGGTTCACCACTCGAAGAGATCTAAAGGACTGGAACACGGATGCACCAAGAAGGGTGCATCCAAAAAGATAGACTAGTGTTTTTCAGGATGGAAAACACGTTGAAGCGAGATCGACTATCAGAGAGTCGATCGTAGAGAAAGCCCGCTCGACGGAAAGGGAGTCGATCGAAGAGGATGTGACCGTTGTAGTACACGTAACGGAAGAGAATTCCGGCGTTCCTGAGAGCAATAACTCCCGATAGAGTTATGTTGAGGGTGTGGATCCCCAACCACCTGCGGATGTGTTTTCCCAGGAAATCACCGAGTCAGTAAATGTCTTGGTGAATGACGGATCAAGTGTAGGCCTTATACACTTGATCTGGTGACGCCCCCAAAGTCAGCTTCGGAGGTGGTCGAGTTGCCAACGCCAGAATCTAAAAGATTCTTGCGAGATCTGCGTAGTGACAAGATCAAGCAGATCTGCGTACTCGCTACAGAGGACGAGTACGTCGCCGATATTCGTTCGTCTTAAGTGTTTGCTTAGAACGAAAGGGTTCTCAGTAGCTCATCTATGGACGAGAGTGTCCTCGATGAGAAGACTCGGATTGAGCGATACACGTCTAAATCTTGGGAGTCTTTACAGACAAATCCTTTGTATAAGGATTTGGTGGAATTCAGGGATGTTTTCCCGGAATCTGTGCCATGCGAGCTGCCCAAAGACAAAGGCACTCGGCATGAGATTGAAATGAAACCTGGTTCGAAATACTGTGTCATGAAGCAGTGGCCACTGCCTCGTGAACAGGTCACAGCGATTGAAAAATTCTTTTCTGATCGCTTAGCTGCTGGTCATGTGAGGGAATCAACATCCTTACCCAGCTCTCCGACCTTCTGTGTGAGAAAGGCCACAGGAAAGTGACGGATAGTGTACGCTTTCAAAAAACCGAACGCTGCAACGGTACCGGCTCGAACGCCGATTCTAAGGAAGGACGTCATCATAGACGGTATGGCAAAGATTATCGTCTTTTTTTTGTTCACGGATTTGATGGATGGATTCTATCATATTCTCATGCATGAATGGGACATCCCGTACACAGCAGTGATCACCCCCAGTTGTATGCTCTGTGAGTGGCTAGTGATGCCACAGGGGCTAAGTAACGCCCCTGCAACGCTCAACAGATGTGTTACGAATCTGTTGCGATCGGTGCGCGACTTTGTACCGAGTTACTTCGACGATGTCTTCGTCCATATCCGGGCTATGGATGGAAGACGGACGCGTAGGTTCATAGAATCCACGTCCGGAGGGTTCTTACTCTAATGCGAGAGCATAAGTTGTTCGCGAACCTCAAGAAGTGCATCTTCGCAGCGAGCGAAATGCCACTTCTACGCTGAATCTTGGATAAACACGGTGTGCACCCTGATCCGGAAAAGATCAAGGCGATTAGCGACTGGCCTGTGCCAGTCTACGTCAAGGGACTTCGAAAGTTCCTTGGCTTGGCAGCGTATTTGCACAAATACTCGCGCAACTATGCCGAGATGACCGCTCATCTCTCTCGTCTACTAAATAAAAACGAGAGGTGGTCATGGAGCGCTGAGTGTCAGCACTCCTTCGAGGTATCAAGAAAATTATGATACAATCGCCTGTGTTGGCGATTGCAGATCAGGACAGACCAATTCACGTGGTCTGTGACGCCAGCGATTTTGCAATCGGCTGCGCGTTAATGCATTACGACTCGGACGGCGTTGAGCGCGTTGTCTGTTATCAATCGCGTCTGCTGCAAGCAGCTGAGCGAAATTATCCGGTGCATGACAAGGAACTCCTTGCCATGAAATATGCACTGGTCAAGTTTCGGGTATATCTCTTAGGAGATAGGCCCTTCATCTATTCTACCGACCATGCGTCGTTACGCACGGCCGTAAACAGTCCACACCTCTCGCAACAAATGGCGAGGTGGCTGTCTTTCTTCGCGAAGTACAACTTCTACGTCGAGTAAAACCAGAACGACTTAATGTCGTCGCTGATGCTCTTTCGCGTCGGCCCTATTTCAAACCTACAGCTTAACCCAACAGTAAGAGTGATCCTACTGTTGCAGCACTATCAGTGAGTGTTCCGTCGTCGAATCTGCTCGACGATGTGCAAAAAGCATACACAGAAGATAATTATATTCTACGTTGATTGAATTACGTGTGTAATCCATGCAGTCAAGCTTTGAAAAGCTTGTCGTCTCAATACCGCTCTTCAACCGAACAGTCTTCTGTTCGTGATGGACTGCTGTACTATACAGCAGTCAACGGCAACACACCTCGTGTCGTCGTTCCGGCTCATAATGATGTGCGATTGCGCATCATGTATGAGTGTCACGCGCCCCAACAAGTGGGCATCGCGGCAGAGAAAAGACCTACCTCGTGGTGAGTCGTGACTTCTACTGGCCACACCAGTATGAGTTTGTGCGGAAATACATTCGCGCTTGCGAATTTTGTCAACGGGTGAAGCCTAGTCCTTCATCCCGCGTACCCTTACAGCCTCTTCCGATTCCGGCAGAGTGTTGGCAGTCCGTATCGATGGACTTTATCCTTGGTTTTCCCGAAGACGCTCACAAGATTACTGGTATTCTTGTGTTTGTTGATCGGTTCAGCAAGATGGTACATCTTGTTGCAGTACCGGATTCAATCACAGCTCAGTGCTGTGTGCGTGTCTTCATCGATACTATCTTTTCGATTTCACGGGTTACCCCGTGAACTCGTGTTTCATCCCAGCTTCATAGTGGAGTTCTGGCAATCCGTGTTTTCTTCACTTGGGACACGTTTGACGATGTCAACTTCTGACCATCCAGAAATTGATGGTCGGACGGAACGCGTCAACCGCGTTCTCGAAGAGATACTTCGAGGGTATGTCCACTCGTTTTCGGGCTGGAGTAAATTCTTGCCGATGGCGGAATTCACCATCAACAACTCGGTGCACGCGTCGACAGCGCATACACCGTTCTTCGTGAATGGCCTACGCCATCCACGTTTACCCGCCTTCTTAGAGTGTGAATCTAGTTTAAGGGGGGGTGGACTCGCTCGAGCAAAAATCGATATGGTTCTTGCTCATCACCCGTCGACAATGGTGTAGACGTGATGGATGCCGATGTCGATCTTATTGACATCGATGACGATGGTTATGACGATGCTAGTGTATTCAGCATCGCAAGCGAATGCTACATAAAAAAGATGACTCTTTCACTGGTGAAGACGATGTTCTTTTTGTAAAGCACACGAAGCGCACTGCTGTTGACAAGGATGAATCAGCAGAGGAATTTCTGCTGACTTGCGAAGTGGTTGTCCGCTTCGTTCAAGACTCCATTGCAGATGCACTATACAGACAGAAGAGAAACGCAGACAAGCATAGAAGAGCAAATTTTCTTTCATTTGATAAAGAAGATTTAGTTTTACTGTCTACAGTAAACTTACCGAAACACGCAGTGACAAACGTGGGCAGCCGTAGATTACTGCCCAGGTACATCGGTCCATTTCGTGTATTACGCCGCATGAGCAACGCACACACAATCGAACTTCCTCTAAGTATGCGTACGCATCTACGTTTTACATAGTACTTCTCCGTCTTACTATCAGTACGAGCTCGTTTCGAGATGCGAAGGACAACTCCGCGGTCGAGAGCCGAGACCACCTTCGAGTGGTCCCGTTTCAATGATCCAGTCTGGTCGACTAGCGAAGCGACCTGTTCACGCAGTTCAGCGATGTCTTGACGAGCTGCAGCCAGCTCATCACGAAGAGAACGATTCGAACGATCATTCTCAAGTTGCGCGAACACAAAAGGGCACGATCTTCCTAACGATCTTGCGTTAGGGAATAATAATTATCCCTTGCAAGATCGTCAAGCCCATAACGCCGAGATCGTTCATGAGCCAGGTCATCATGCAACTGTTCCGTTAGACGGTTCAGCTCTTGAACATCAACTTGATCCGACCCTCGAGCCGGATCAGGTGTTCCCACCGCCACCACATCCTTTAGTGGACTCAAGCTGTGATCAACGCTTCCTAGTGGAGCGTATTTTGAGCCACCGCGATGTGAATGGCATCCGGACGAGTTACCTCGTCCGCTGGCGTTTCTCCACCGGCGTGGGACAGCTGGGATCCTCGCGCCCAGCTGATTGTTGATGTCCTTGATCTCGTCCAGCAGTACGACGAGACCCACCCGCTGCGTTTAAAGAAGGGCCATCGGAATACGACGTCCCCGATCGCGAGTACAGGGATTGCAAGGTGTCAATCCCTTTGGTCATCTCGGAAGAGATGCGCGTCCTCCAGTTGGGATCATTAGGGAGGTAGGCCTCCCTACGGGCACGGTTCGAATTGTCCAGGCAACCTGGACACGAATCACCCCACGAAGACAGGGTAATCCTGCCTCTCTTGAAAGCCGGTGCAACTTGTGTCGCGCCCCGTCTAGGTTGCGTTTCTCAAACCTGATGCGGACTGCATCAAGTTTGGCGAGTTAAGCCTCACGGCCAATACACTCGACGTTGTGGAAGAGGGCATTCCATCCCTGCACCAAGGCTTTGCCGTCTTGTACACGGCTACCATTGTACCACCGATGTTTGAAGAACGCATCGGTGAAGAACTCTTCCTCAGCACGGATAGTTTCCGTGCTGGAATCAGGAGGGTAAATCTTTCTGCAATCGAACAACGTTATTCGACCCCGTTCGGTAGTCGTGCCGGCCAACCGGTCCAACTCTATGAATGGCGGCATCCACGGAGACTCCACTTGAGGAGCGTGGCGCAGGACCTTTCGGTCCCTGGCCTCTTGATTGGTGCCAGCATGAGCACATGCACCAGTGTTACCCCGATCCCTTGAGTTGATTCGCTCGTGGTGATGTATAGGTGCATCACCACCATCCCTTCTCGTCCTATCGTTGGATGGACTTGCGTGAGGCGGACACTCATCGGAGTAATCACTCAATCCGAAGATCTCGGTCATGATACCGCCGTGCTGACCAGAGCCAGTCAGCCTGGCTCTTGCAGTGTCCGCCCCGGGTGATCCGGAGGCGTGAGGCGTCGCCTTCGAGTCGGATGCATCTTCCGAATCGCCAGAACAGATGAGCTCTATCTCAGACTCGTCTGGATTACGACTCGCAGTACCCGCTGCAGACGCAGCGGATGTACCAGTCTCACGTGGTGACTCACCACGTGGAGGATTCACGACAACAGGCGACGAATCGCCTTCTGCTGAGGCGTGAGAGGCACTTTCCGCGGCCGCACGCATGCGTGCAGCAGCTCGCGTGGTTTTGGAAACCATGCGTTGGATTGAAAACGAATGGAATTTGACCAACAAGTGCTCCCTTCCCCGGAGTTATCCGACGGTGGTCACCCTGTCCCAATCAATTCTGAATCAATAAACGGGTGATTGATGGTTAATGGGGGGTGATGTATTGGGGCAGCCCGTTACATGAAATTGACACCAAACGGTGTCAATAGGAATATTGTCTAGCATGACAATATTCTACCAATATTATCTGGGATGGATAACATTGAAGGAATGTTATTCCCTTTTGGATACTATTCATTCGCTGCTTCAAGATTGGTTGATATAAGACATATCAACCATCGATTGCCATCAATCGCTGCTAGGCGCGCGCAATGAGTGGTGAGCAGGTTGTCGTCATACGACGGCGTAGTTTAGTATAGTTAGATAAAGATTAAAGTTATTTTGATAGATTAACTGCATTAATTACAGTTCTCTTTTTACCTTACTTGATCGAGTCGTTCAAGTAGTTTAGATTCCTCTGCACGTACTAGTGTACGTGAAGTTTCGCGGCACCCAAACAAAGGGTGCCCCGTTACATGTCACGTATAATTGATTCAGTGTCGTCATGAAAATGATACATACGACTGAGTTTAGTCCTTGATACGTTGAGTAGTCGGCGTTGACGAGCACGAGGCCAAAGATGAGGGCCAGGATAAGCGCGAGCCAGCACCGAGTCAAGTCGTACATTGGTGTTCGCCAGTACATTGACTGAAGTCGCTGCATGATCAATCAGAGTTGCATCCAGGAAGTAGCAACTCGCTTGTGCTGGAACATCAGCTTCGGTAGACTATCGGGTGCAGGTGTCTTCACACCAGGTTTAGCTAAATGAGTCAGCAAAATTTGGTGGAAATTGGTGCTCCAGAGATAACTTTGGACATCGATTATCTTCCAGTTGGAGACGTTCAGCCCGTCCCTAAGGCTCAGCACTAAATCCAGTCAACGGAAGCTCTTTAAACTCCGCACCTCTAACCTTCTATATATAGCATAATATAGATAAATTAACTATTAAGCTAATTAGCTGCTCGTAAAACGTTTGACGGCGTTTGCAGTACGGAATAGCAAAATTCAAAGTACGGAGTAGCCTCGCCCACGATTTGCTTGTTTTTTTATGATCCCCCTAAGGTTTGAGAGTGGGCAGGCTTATGGAAAGGCAAACACATTGCGTTTCCGTGGTAGATAGGTCCGACCTGTGCTTGTCACCTCCAAAATCCGACCCCGCCCGTTAGTCGATTGGAGTTCGAACGGTTGCGCCCAGCCCGGAATGCCTTGACGTAGCCGATTCATTAGCAAAAAACGTGCTCAATTGGCGGGACCATTTACTTCACGAAAGCAGCTGGAAACATAGAAACAAAAGCCCGGTCTATCTCCAACAATGTCACAGTATTCGGACTCGGATCAGCCCAGATAGGAAGTGAGACCACGCCCCCAGGCCTACAAACGCATGACATCAATCCCTCCGATAACTGATTCCCCAGTACGGTATCACATGGGAATGGCTGATAAAAGTGGGCGTCTGCTGACCTCGTTCTAGACCGCTCGGCTATGAGCAATTAGCTATCACCGTGACAAGCAACATAACTACACCCATAATGTTTATCGCAATATTGCTCATTCTCAGCATGTTAGGAAGCGTACAAACCACTTCCATCATCAATGAAACGTTTTGTTGGGGCCCGAGAAAGGCTACTTGTAACGGGGTGAATCGTTACATAACAATTTATAAGAAATTGTTAATAGAATATAACTATAAGAGTTATATTCTCGGAATATTGTCATAAGGACAAATATTCTGTAGCACTTACGAGTTGTTCCTAATTGGTTGATATAGGCCATTATATCAACCAACGAAGACGCGCCACGACAGACGCACGCAATGAGTGGTGAGCAGATAACTGATTTACACATTTGTATTTAGACATAGTTAGATGAAGATAAATAGTGATTTATTGCAGACATTAACTATTATAAATACAGTTCTACTTTTTACTTTAACCGAGTACTCGCTTCTTCTTACCGTCTTCCTCTGCACGTACCAGTGTACGTGAAGTTACGAGGCACCGCCTTATTCTGTCATCAGAATAAGTAGCTTGTACTGTCACCAGTACAAGCTTCAGGGTGCCCCGTTACACCTGGTAGCACTTCGTAGTCCGTCCAAGGACCGCGTTCACATCCAACATGAATATGTTGGATGATGAAGATGACCAAAGCTTTCACGCTACGCGTGACGGCTACTCCCATTTGAGCGATGTCGAATGGGATGCGGTTGAACGAATGGGTTCGACCATGGGCATCCATGCTGTTAGCGTCATGCTAGAGGCTCTCAATAGAGATGCCCAACATGCTACTATCGCCAAGTTCATTCAAAATGAACTTGACGCTGAACGCGAGAAAGTAGCCTTGCTTCACCAACAAGGTTCTCAACAAGCAGAGTTGTTGAGAGAACAAGGTGCTCAACAGTTTGAACTGTTGAGACAGCAGCAGGCTGCTGCTGGCGGGTCGATGCGACTCGCGTCGACCCGAGACTTTGAAGATTGACATCTCAAAGTATAGGGGGGTCGAAGAAGACTCCCTCTTGAGATGGTTCGTCGAATTGGATGACGCCATAAGGGCGCGTCGCATCGACGACGGGGATATGCAAGTTGCATTTGCCCAGTCAAATCTGGCAGGACGTGCCAAGACTTGGGCACTGGGGCTCAATTTGCACGACCCATATGCGTTTGGGTCGTTGGAAGTCTTCAAGTCGCGGCTCAGACAAACGTTTGAACCGCCTAGAGCTGAGTTCAGGGCTCGAACTGAACTCTTGAAGCTCAAACAGGGTAAGCGTGATGTGCACGCTTACGCCCAACATATACGACATCTTACGAGTTGTATAAGTTCCAATCCGGTGGATGAACACACGTTGGTTTCGGTGTTCATGCAGGGTCTTGCGGATGGTCCCGTCAAGACTCACCTGTTCCGGCTTGAACTAGATTCACTAGAACAAGCCATTTCCATTGCGGAGCAGGAAGACTTCAGTCTGAGACAGGATCGCGCCAGCTCGACATCATATCGTCAACCGAGACGATATGACAACGGAGGTCCAGAGCCGATGGAACTCTGTTATGTAGAGAGCGAGAAGGCTCGCTCTACAGGCTACAAGAAGTTGCAGAGATGCAACAGATGTCAAAAGACAGGACACTACGCTTACGAGTGTAGTGCCCCTCGTCCAGTGTCTCGCGACACTGGGCGTAGTGACCGTCCACCCATGAGAAAGGGGCAGGGACGAGGGTCCGCAGTTGGTGCAAAGACGCAACAACGGGATGGACCGTCATAAAACGGACAGGATCAGTAGGTGCGGAGCACCCTACTGGTCTAGCAACGTTAAGAGAATTTGTAGGCCTCTTGATGAAGGTTGCTCCCAACACACAAACGTTGTGCGTTGCTGCTCTAGGTAATGAGATCTCACTCATTACCTTGAAACTCGAAGTGACGAATAAGTTGTCCCTTCGAGTTCTAGTCGATTGTGGGGTGTCCAACAATTTTGTGCGACGCCAATCGCTAGAAGATGGTCACTTTAAATTCAGTGAATGTGACACACCTCCTACGAGGATGACGGTACGTCTTGCGACAGGCGCATCCGTAACCGTCATGAAGCGTATAGTGAAGATCCAATATACGCTAGAAGATACCCAATATGACGATGACTTTATCGTATTGGATTTGGATGACAAATTTGATGTCATCCTTGGAATACCGTGGCTCAGAAGGTACGAACCACGGGTAAACTGGCAACATCGGACAGTAACGATGCCTGCCGCTTGTTCATCAGATGGCCATCTGATGAACGTTTTGGAGCGTCCACAAGCGTGTGGATGTACTACGAGTGAGTGCGATGGCCTCACTTGTGGTACGGTCGTTAGTACGACTGCACAAAACCTTAGTGTACCAAACGGTTACACTTCGGAGCAAAGTTCCGGCGGCTGTGAGGAAACACAGGCTGCGCCGAAGGTCCACCGCTCGAATAAGTCGAGTGGAACGGAACAAAGATGTATCCCTAGCGGGGAACATCTAGAAGAGAAACAATCGATCGCTCAGGTTAAGCGAAACGATAATCCTAGATCGACTGGAGAGTCTTTCGTAGAGGATCTCGCTGTGGTTGCGCAACCCCAGCTAGAGGAAGTAAAGGGAATAAGTCCCGATATTACAAATACGGCGGAAATAAGTTCCCCGAAACCCGCGGGAATAAGTCCCCGGGAAGACGAAGGAATAAGTCCTTCGAAGCCTGAGGGAATAAGTCCCCAGGAAATGACAGAGACATTGAATGTCATAGTCAATAACGGATCAAGTGTAGGCGCTTATACACTTGATCTGATTGCGCCTCCGAAGTTAACTTCGGAGATCACTCAGTTGCCAACGCTCGAACATAAAAGGTTCTTGCGTGATCTGCGTAGTGGCAAAGTCAAGCAGATCTGCATACTCGTCGCTGAAGACGAGTATGTAACCGACATAAGGTCAGCAACAGTGTTTACTGAGAACGAGAGAGTTCTCAGTAGTTCATCTATGGACGAGAGTGTCCTAGATGAAAAGACACGAATTGAGCGATATGAGTCCCAATCATGGGAATCGCTCAAGGAAAATCCTCTCTATGAAGATTTGGTTGAATTCAAGGATGTATTCCCTGAAACTGTTCCGTGCGAATTACCGAAGGATAAAGGTATTCGACACGAGGTCGAGCTTAAACCAGGCTCGAAGTACTGTGTCATGAAGCAGTGGCCACTGCCTCGTGAACAAGTACTTGCGATCGACAAGTTCTTTGCCGATCGCTTAGCTGCCGAGGCCATGTGAGGGAATCAACTTCCCCACATAGCTCTCCGACCTTCTGTGTGCGAAAAACAACAGGAGGGTGGCGGATAGTGCATGCATTTAACAAGTTGAATGCTGCAACGGTACCGGCTCAGACGCCGATACCGAGGAAGGACGTAATCATTGATGGTATGTCAAAGAGTACCATCTTTTCGTCCATGGATTTGATGGATGGCTTCTATCAAATCCTTATGCGGGAACGGGATATACCCTATACCGCAGTTAGCACGCCTAGCGGCATGCTCTGGGAATAGCTAGTAATGCCACAAGGGCTCAGTAATGCCCCTGCCACGTTCAACAGATGTGTATCACATCTGTTGAGACCAGTACGAGAATTCGCGCCGAGTTATTTCGATGACGTATTCATCCATAGTCGAGCTATGGATGGAAAGTCGGACGTTGAGGTTCACAGGTACCACGTCCGACAAGTTCTTACAATCATGCGAAAGCATCAATTGTATGCAAACCTCAAGAAGTGTATATTTGCAGCAAGCGAAATACCACTTCTTGGGTGCATCGTTGGTAAGAACGGTGTACGTCCTGATCCCGAAAAGATCAAGGCGATCACCGACTGGCCTGTGCCGGTCGATGTCAAAGGTCTTCGAAAAATCCTTGGGCTAGCGGCGTATTTGCATAAGTATTCACGCAATTACGCCGAGATGACTGTGCACCTCTCTCGTTTGTTGAAAAAGAACGAGAGGTGGTTATGGAACGCTGAATGTCAACGCTCCTTTGATGGTATCAAGCAGAGCTTGATACAATCCCCAGTCCTAGCAATAGCCAATCAGGACAGGCCATTTCATGTGGTCTGTGATGCCAGCGATTTCGCAATCGGCTGTGCATTAATGCAGTACGATCTTGAAGGCGTTGAACGCGTCGTCTGCTATCAGTCGCGTCAGCTGCAACCAGCTGAGCGGAACTATCCAGTGCATGACAAGGAACTCCTTGCCATGAAGTATGCACTCGCGAAGTTCAGAGTCTATATATTAGGAGATAGACCCTTCGTTGTTTACACTGACCATGCGTCATTACGCACGGCAGTGAACAGCCCGCACCTTTCACAACAATGGCGCGGTGGTTGTCATTATTTGCGGAATACAACTTTACGGTCGAGTACAAAACAGGACGACTTAATGTCGTCGCTGATGCACTCTCACGTCGTCCCGACTTTGAAACAGTCGCGAAACCCAACAGTGAGACAGTCACTGTTGCGGTTATGACGTCCTCAGTTCCATCTACAACGTTGTATGATGATGTGAGGCGGGCATACGCCCAAGATGGTGAGATAATGAGGTTGTTGACACATCTCTCCCAACCATCCCGAGAATCGTTGAAACGATTGTCGCCTGCGTATCGATCTGCATCAGATCGATACACTACTCGTAACAGTTTACTGTATTATACAGCCGTTTCTGGTGACACACCACGTGTTGTCATTCCAGATGATACTGATCTGCGTTTGCGGATCATGTTCGAGTATCACGATGCTCCTATAGGAGGACATCGTGGCCGAGAGAAAACATATCTCACGGTAAGTCGAAACTTTTACTGGCCCCGCCAGTATCAGTTTGTGCGAAAGTATGTTCGCGCATGCGAAGTCTGTCAACGAGTGAAGTCAAGTCCTTCACTGCGTGCACCTTTACAGCCTCTACCGGTTCCGGCTGAGTGCTGGGAATCCATCTCAATGGATTTCGTCTTCGGGTTACCCAAAGACGCACGCGGGAATACGGGTATTCTCGTATTTGTTGACAGATTCAGCAAAATGGTACACCTTGTGGCTGTACCAGAGACAATCACGGCAAGTGGCTGTGCTTGTGTCTTTATTGACACCATCTTCCGACTTCATGGGTTGCCCCGTGAACTCGTATCAGACAGAGATCCACGATTCACTGCTGATTTCTGGCGTTCCGTGTTCAAATCACTCGGAACGCGCTTGAAGATGTCGACATCTGATCATCCAGAGTCAGATGGTCAGACGGAACGTGCCAATCGTGTTCTCGAAGAGATACTTCGAGGATACGTACACTCCTGTAAGAGTTGGAGTGAGTTCTTGCCCATGGTAATATTTGCCATTAACAACTCGGTGCATGCGTCCACGACACATACACCGTTTTACGTGAATGGCTTGCGCCATCCGCGTGTACCCACCCTACTAGAGTGTAACTCTGCTTTAAGGGGGGGAGGGACTCGCGCGAGCAAAAACCGATTTGGTTCACGCTCATCACGCTCTGACGAAGAGGTCATTGCGTTTGATGCCGATATCGATAACATCGATATCGAAGAAGATGATGCCAGTGAGAGTGCGGAAGCCCTCACTGAAGAAAAGGTTGATGTCACGGCAGTGCGCTCACAGCGCACTGAAGCTAACGAGTCATCAGGTGAATTCATACTGGCTCGTGAAACGGTAGTCCGTTTTGTGCAAGACTCCATCGCCGAAGCGGTGGATAAGCAAAAGCAAAACGCTGACAAGAATGGAAGGGCAAACACTCTTTTATTTAATAAAGGTGACTTAGTCCTACTGTCTACGGTTAATCTACCAAAGCATGTAGTGACTAACTTGGGTAGCAGTAAACTTCTACCCAAGTACATCGGCCCATTTCGTGTATTGCACCGCCTAGGCAGTGCATACACGATCGAGTTGCCACGTAAGATGCGAACGCATCCCACGTTTTACGTTGGTCGGCTTAAGCCGT